TATATATATAGTGCACGTTTAAAGAGAAAAGATTATGCATTGACCTTGTATTTTGGGGAGAAAAAAGTCGCCCCCAACAACGCAGCATTCCATACAATGATTTTTGGGACGCGAGTCACTTTGATTTAGACGTCAGAAAATAAAACAACTGTTGTTTGATTCAACGATAAATTAATTACTCATCTTTTTTCTTTCATAAAATAAAAAACAATGAATGAAAATATGGTAATATATTTTTTTAAAGTAATTGTCAAACACTACAATAATGCCACAAATTCACCTACAAACTTACACAAAAACAAAAAGAGTTAATGAAAAACTCCAGGAAAATCTGGTAGCGTATACACTGCACGTGAAGACGACGCAGATGTCAAGATTAAAAAATATACAAAATAATGCAGGTCTGCTCAGGTCACATCTCAAACTTGCTGTCCTTTTTTGAAACAGACAGACACAGCAGTATCATCATACATACATACATACATACATACATACATACATACATACATACAATCCACATTTCATCAAAGACAAACGACAAAAATGTAAAAAATACCCTTTCCATAATATGTAGATTCTATCTAATATCTAATAAAGTATATTTTGTCTGCGTGATATTCATATGAATGATAGAGAGAAAACCCCCCTCCCCCTGGAAATATACAGATAAAGGAGAGTGGTGGTAAATAGTAGTAGCCTTGCAAACAGATTGACTGTTCAGTACGAGACGCCGTCATATGTCACTTTTCAAAATGACGTGTGGCCAAGTCAGACACGAACCAGTCGAGATATGCTTTAGATCTTTGGTGAATTCTTTGTGGCAAACTAAATCATAATAGACAGCATTTGTATAGCGCAAATCCCCGCTCAACAGCAAGCTCTATGCACTTCACAATCTATACTATTTACCCCAGCAGACCTGAGAGCATTCTGAAACAACCTCAACTTCCTGGGAAGCATACAGTGCAAGCAGCCATTTATAGGTGCTAAAACACTGACATACTGACAAGATCTTTCGCTGTCTATGGCCGGGCACCCATTACCACCTGGGTGAAGTGAGGAAAAATTCGTGTAAAGTGCCTTTCCCAAGGACACAACGTCGGGCCCGCGGCTTGAACCCCCGACCCCGCAACCTCACGATTACGAATGAGTACGGTAGCCTAACCACTTGGCCACCGACGCCACATCATATATGGGCCCAGCTTCACTATGCATGCATACCCATGTATCTTCTCCAGCCCCAACTTCACCGCCAGCTCTTAGTTTTTTGTCCTACAAGTCGTGCTGGTTTTTTTCACACACTGGCCCTCAAAATTGGCACCCGTTCTTCCTCCCCCGGACAGGAGTGTAGACTGTGTTGATCGCTCCGTGTCAGATTCTGTCATACGTAACTTTTCAAAGTCGCTTACGTCAGACTCTTACACTACGCAGTCGATATGTACCATAGAAATGTATAAATATATGTACCGTATATGTATAAAAATTTATATTACCATACACATAGTTAAATGTATATATTTATGTACCATACAAGTATTTCTATTCATATGTACTAGACATGTACTTTTATGTACCATATTTGCACATTATCGGAGAATGAGCGGCCACTGATGCCACAATTACCCCAGAATGAGCAGTCTGGCACACAGGGACTATGCTGCTAGCTATCTATGACAGTAGGAGGCGACAAACGACACGCACAGACCCCATAGTCTCGCTTCGGCACCGCGACCAGCACAGAATTTGTCGCTACCTGTGACAAAAAGTTACAATTTGGAGCACAGAATTTGTCGTTAGCTGTGACAAAAAGATATATTTTGAAAAAGCAGACCTATGACGTCAAAGGAACAACTGGCTAGTAAAACAAGTATTTCTAGGGCTACCACGTTGACAGGATGCACTATAAGCTATAAGAAAACCATCAGATTGCTAGCGGAATACAGAGTCTGTAACTAGCCTAAACATTATTATCGCTAATAATAATTGATCATTTCTATCAGAATATTTATTATTATGTGTGTGACTGTGGGGCTGCTTTGAGGGCAAGGACACATCATAAGTGTCGGTGTGTGTATATATTTGTGTGTGCGTGTGTGTATGTGAGAGTGTGTATGTTTTAGTGTGTGTGTGTGTGTGTGTGTGTGTGGAAGAGAGGATGTGCGAGAGGGTATATCTGTTATGTGAGCGCCCCTGTGTGTGTGTTTGTCTGTGTGTGTGTGTGTGTGTTTGTCTGTCTGTGTGTGTGTGTGTGTGAATGTGTGAGTGGGGTGAAATACAAAACCAATATGAACCATCATCTGGCCAATAAAGATTCACCTGATAACACAATCATGTGTCTGCACTCCCTGACACTACAACAAGAGACCTGACTACACCCTTCTCACAAACCACAGTGGTAAACACATGACAACAAAACTAGCCGGAACTGGTCACGACTTTCTACCATGGCAAGAAACGCGCCCCGCGTCAAGGCAACGCCACTACACACAACACAGGTGCTACCACTGCCACGCGCCACGCGTCAAGGCAACGCTACTACACACAACACAGGTGCTACCACTGCCACGCGCCACGCGTCAAGGCAATGCTACTGCACACAACACAGGTGCTACCACTGCCACGCGTCAAGGCAACGCTACTACACACAACACAGGTGCTACTACCACTGCCACAACGCGGCAAGCCAAGCACAGCAACTGCGATATAATATATCTAGATCTAAGCCTTCGAATGCCGTCAGAACTGACTGAAGCAGTCACTTTCCACAAACACCACGTGATGCAGAACCCAACACAAGCGGGAAAATGCAGCGATAAAACAACAAAGTTATCCCCCACAATATTTCCTGTCCTTCTCAGTCATGGCTTTGCCACGTGTTGTAGTATACTGCCATAAGCTGACAAAACAACTTTTTTTTTTACTTCACAGCAGTTTCCAGAAAAATAGAGGCTTTTTTTTGTCAGCGTAACCATTTAAAAATTGAGTGATCCCAAAATTTGAATTCTAAATTATTCAAAAACTAGTCACAGTTTCAAGATTGATTTTTTTCACGCAAGTAGGGTAATGGATCAGGTTTTCGATTTAGCAAATAAAAAATGATGCCAATTTTGGTGCCAAAATGAGAAAAAAAAGGCATTTTGTCAACTTATGGCAGTATGGAGAAGGGGGGAGGGGGGGGGGATTGTATAATAACCAGAAGAAGAACAAGAGAGTTTGAATCTTACTACAAATGGAGCTAAGGCCAAGAGAGTTTGAATCCAGATAATGCTGCTCCAATAAGTCGTGTTTCCATTTGAGGTGTACAGGGGAAAATGGCGTAAGTCACAATTATTTGTTTTTGCCCGTCTGTTTCAACCTAAGTTTCGCTTGTTTCATTTCATCCATCTTATAATAATTTTTTTTTCAGAAACTGCTTGATTTTGGGTTGAAAAAAAAAAAAAGACAAAAAAATTTTATAACTGTAAAAGCAAGTGTAGAAAAACCATCCTTCTACATCATGACAGAACGCCTTCTCTATCACAAATCATTTCTGGCGCTCATATGACCTTATGCAGTTGTGAGCGCCGTAAAAACTCTACTAAAACAACAAACAAACAAATCAGTTCTTCTAGTTCTTCACTCACTTCACCTCAGTTTCTCAGAGCCTAAGACTACAACAATGAGGGAAAAAGATCCTCCTTTTCCAAGTCAGTTCTTCCGCAATCACTTCAATTGACTTTGTCAGCGCCAGGAGGGAAAAGATTCTCCTCCTAAAAAAGAAATCCCACGTGAATCTCCTCCCACGTCGGGTGTGAATTCTTCCTGAGAGGGGAAGTAAAAGGGAGAAAACTAGAGTGCAGCCGCTCTAGAACGACCTCCGATAGAACCACATCCTCTGTATAGCCACATGGTCGCTCTAGAACGACCTCCGATAGAACCACATCCTCTGTATAGCCACATGGTCGCTCTAGAACGACCTCCGATAGAACCACATCCTCTGTATAGCCACATGGTCGCTCTAGAACGACCTCCGATAGAACCACATCATCTGTATAGCCACATGGTCGCTCTAGAACGACCTCCGATAGAACCACATCCTCTGTATAGCCACATGGTGCCCCGGTCCGGATTTTTCCCCTTATATATCATTAGTCATTTCTTGTTGCCTCTCTATAACAACCCTCTACAACAACCCTCTACAACAACCCTCTATAACAACCCTCTATAACAACCCTCTACAACAACCCTCTATAATAACGACATTATTTTTCTGGTCCCGACAATACTGTCGTTATAAGAGAGGCTGCGCATGCTCTGGTGTGGTTTGCTTCTTCTTTCCTATCAAACATCTATCGTCTTTGTCTCCCTTCCTTCATTTTTATGTTTGTTACTCTCATGTCAAACCTCTAATCTTCTGGCGCTCATAGGACCTTATGCAGTTGCGAGCGCCGTAAAACCTCTACTAAAACAAACAAGAGGTTGCACTGGGTAGAAAAACAAGTAGCATAGACTATGTAGAAGAGAACAGATTACCGTATGTCCTGACGGTGTTTGTGTGTTTAGTTTAAGTAAGAGTTTTACAGCACTTACAACACAAATAGGTCATATAAGTACCAAAGATTAGAGGTGTTGCTAGAGAATGACATACAGAGAAAAGGAGGAGAGATAAGAGAATGATAGATGCTTGATAGGAATGAAGGAGGAGAGACAAGAATGATAGATGCTTGATAGGAAAGAAGGAGCAAACCACACTAGAGCACCCACCGACCACCCACTATGAAAACATATCCTGAAGTCTTCGGATCCTCCAGAAACGCGCGCGCTGAACTCAAAATTTATGGTTCATATTGTCTAATACTTTGTAACATGATGACTACTTCTTTATAGAGTGCATTATGACATACACAAAGAGATTAATTAAAATATAAATATAGATCAGGCAAAATAGTCAAAAATATGAGTTTCCAGATTTATCCGGAAAGTTGGCACCTCTGCTCCAAACATTGCTCTTGATTATGCACGTTTGTCGGACAAAGTCATAGAAACAAAACCCACAGCTCAGGCAGCCGACAACTCCCGGAAGACAAATGTCGCACACACAGAGGCTGTTTGCCAACACGTCTCGCAGAATTTACACACAATACGAGGCTGTCTGAGATGAGGGTGTTGGATAAACAGAATGAGGTTCCTTCTCTCCATACATCATATATCATACATCATATATCATACATCATATATCATACATCATAAATCATATATCATATATCGTATATCATACATCATATATCATACATCACATATCATACATCATATATCATACATCATATATCATATATCGTATATCATACATCATATATCATACACCATATATCGTAGTCGTCCAACAATCATCCAGTCTGGCACGCACATAACGAAACTGGTGTGACACGCGAAACTTTTCGTAAAGTACGAATTTTGATATGTACAGAGAATATAATATACAACATAAGAAAAATTTGGAACCTGAAAATCTGTTTGCAATGAGTGTGTTTCCTTTCGTGCCTGTTTCGTTATGTGTGTGTTTTGTTATGTATGCGTTTTGTTATGAATGTGTTCCAATAAATGCGCGCTAGTCTGTTACCCTTAAAAGTGTTGAAAAGTAAGAAAAACTGAGATCACATGACGTCAAACAAAACATCACTCTCCCTGACTGACACACATCAGATATAACTTCATAAAACGTATAAATAATCAACTTCAAAATTTTTAAAAAGGTTACAATCGTGTGGAAAAAGGACTAAAGGTTATGGAGAAGAGTGCCAAATCACGCCTCCCAGTATTAATTATAGATATGAGTGTGTTTGATAAATTAATACTGATCATATGTTTGGTAAACAAAAGTCTAAAGTAAATGAAATAACTGAGTAGAAACAGTACTGGTCACTAGAAAGTATGTGTCACGACGCGGTGGAAGCAGGTGCTCGTCAATTTTTGGGCACGTGGAGTTACTGGGATAATCTTCAAGCTTCTTCCTTTCTTCTTCTCCTTTAGATGAAATAAATACTCATTTATCTTGAATGGAAGTCGAGATATTTGTGATTGAAGGAAGAGGGGGTCCCCTGGTTCAGAAGGATAATTTGCACACAAAGAAATGGTCCCCAAAATTTGGTGACCTCGAAAGTTTTAATGTCCTTGGAAACTGAAAATTTACATTTTTTGTGCCTTTGATCATCATTTTTCAGTAACATCCACACAGAAATGTATTTTTCAATAGACATAAAAAAAACGTTGATTTAAAAAATATAGATATATATATATCTGTAAAAATTGCCAAACTGCTGAAACAATGTCAGTTTCTTCGATTTAATTATTTTGACGAGCGCCCGAGTTCACCACGATGCCTCACGTTTGATTAGACTGTCGCATAAGAAACATTCTGCAATACACAATACATGATTCTGTCAATGACATTCTGCAATACACAATACATGATTCTGTCAATAACATTCTCAAATACATAATACATGATTCTGTCAATGACATTCTGCAATACATAATACATGATTCCAAATACAAGGCATTCACTGTCACCAAAACACCAACAATACTGAAATGTTCAAAGACGCCTCAAGTCAATTATACATTTACACTTAAAGTCAATGGCCCCAGAAAACATGGGAAAAAAAAGAAAAATGACAAAGAGTTGAAAATCAGATGAAATTATACAAAACAAACTTCGCAAAGAGCAAAGAATTTTACAGTATTGGAATAAAAAACCCAGCAGAAACCTGCTCTTAGAGAAAAAAATAAACTCACAACGATAATACACAAAAAAGAAAAAAAAAAACTAAAGAAGAGGAAAAAAAAGTTACAGAATATTTTCCAAAGAAAGAGTGTTGAGAGTAGAGCCGGCAACACGTGTGTGTTGTCGCAGCCACGGGCCAGTGGAGGGAGGCAGACGTCAGCCCAGGTACTTGCTAGGGCTTGTCTCACAGTCACGTGTCATACACTCTTCTCGTGTCTCAGTCATGTGTCATACAGTCATGTTGTGTCTCAGTCACATGTCATACAGTCATGTTGTGTCTCAGTCATGTGTCATACAGTCATGTTGTGTCTCAGTCACGTGTCATACAGTCATGTTGTGTCTCTGTCACGTGTCATAGAGTCATGTTGTGTCTCAGTCACGTGTCATACAGTCATGTTGTGTCTCTGTCACGTGTCATAGAGTCATGTTGTGTCTCAGTCACGTGTCATACAGTCATGTTGTGTCTC